GGTTGATCAATTCCCTTACCTTAGCAGGAAATCAACAATGATTAACGCATGACAGCTGAAGTCGTTTCACGTAATGCAAAAGCTAGAACTGCATTCCTGAATCTGCGACATCTGTGACATCAGAATGGGGCGTTCCTCGGTCTAATAAGCCTTGTTTACAAGGCGATAGTGAGGGATGGGTTCCACGTGACCTGCTCTGCGTTTGGCTCCAGACCTTATTAAGGCTTTAATGAACTACCTCGCAAATTGCAACATGTTGACACCGGAGTAGTATGGCTTCCGGCCACACTGGTTATGCACCACCAACCTGCTGATGGCAAGAGGTAGTTGGACGGAAGTGGCCGATGTTGGGGCTGGAATCAATGTCATATACCTGGACTATTCCAAACTTTTCCATCATCTGGATAATCGCATCCTACTTCACAGGATACAGAGCTATGGGACAAGGGATCCTGTCCTTGGGTGGATCAGCGGCTCTGATAGTCTACGGAGGATAAAAGTACGTGGTAAGGGATCACTCCCAACCCAGTTGAGAGGAAATGCGATGTTCCAGAGGGCTCGGTGCTGGAACCGCGCCTATTATTGTTGTTTACCAACGACTTAACAAAAGCTATCGCTTCTAATTTCCTCCTTTTCACCGATGACATAAAGCTATGGCAAGCGATGAATGGCAGTGATGAGCACAATCTCCTCCAGCGTGAGCGGGTTTGCGTTTATAAGTAGTCAACGAGGAAACTACTCCAGCGTAACCCATCCATGTACTAAGTGACTCACCTGCGTCATCAGCCAATAGGCGTGTACAAACTTTGAGAACACATCTTGCGGAATGCCTCAGCAGCGTGACTTGACTGTACTGGTACAGGATGATCTCGAATGCTAGAAACAATCAGAGAAGGCTTCGAGAACCGGGATCAGCAATTTGGTCTTCCTCGCAGCGCATTTGTTCACTTTGACCCAGCAATGTTCCCACAAATGCTTAACGCCTTTGTGCGACCGTAAGTGGAATGCGCTATCCACAAGTGGCACGCTGCTGCTTTCGTGACTTCTCAGTGAGGATTATCGAGGAACGTAAGGGGTCTCTTCCATCTGCTCTACTAGCGTACAATGAAGTTTCTAAGAATAAACAGCAGTCAATATTGGCGCTTGCGGGAGAACTCGAGATGGTGTCCCAGATCCTGAAGCACCCGAAACACATCTACCGCCCACTGTCGAAACGGAACCACAAAACAAATCCAATAGCTTGTCAGTTAAAGTTGAAAATACATCATAATCGGCTGGAATTCTGTGAAAGTTTCTTTTCACTTCCAGTCTACCAGGCCTAGAGTGCTCCCCCAACTTATGTTGTCTCTGCTCCAAATTTAAAAAACAACTTGACGATGCATTGTCTCATCCGCATTTCATTTTATAACTTATGTCTGCAGGAGGCTACATAACGCAACCAGCTCAATTAATACAGGTTATAATGTAAAGTTCTCGGCTCTTTTATGCGCGTCCTAATGTAAGCACTATGGTGAGTCCATTAAAACACTTTTAGTTGCCATTCGTCTTCTCTTTTCAAAATTTTTCTATCCCGTATGAGTTGTTGATTATTGATTCTTTACTCATAATACACCATTGTTCCATGGTTCCGAATCGACTGCTGGGGTTTTACTCGCACGGCTGTAGGTCCCTTGGTGAAGAGGGCTCTGGGCAATCCCTCTGCCCCTGGTTACGGGTTCAACTATCTCGCTTAAGGAGTACAATCCAGGGAAACGGTGGTTGCAGCTTTCAGTGATAGCGACGATTGACGAGCGATCCACGTATGCGTTGAGGTTAGCCGGTGGCAGCATATTCTGGAGTTCTTGTCCGATTCGCTCTGTAATGCTCACTTACAAATCGTGCGTAAACAGGTGGAACGGAAGTCTTATCTAGTGACAAGGAATATGCTGTGTTAACAGACAAGGATAGCGAATTGTTATGTGTACCGGAAACCCAACGTTTGAAAGACACCATACACAGTGCGCCCGTGCAAGTGACATGATAATCCATGGCAACAGAACAGCACTGACTATGTTGACATAACTAGCTGATAGACGATTCTGCTAATTATAATAATGATGATGGACAGATTGCGTTTACATATGCAATATGGTCACGCATACATATTGCATATTGAAGTTCAGCAGCAAAGCAGGAGAGCACTGTCAGTAAGATGTATTGTACTGTTTGCAATTCCAATGACTACTCGCATGAAAACTGGCACTCATATTACCAATGCTGGGAGCAGCCGATTAGTCGCAAGCGAGGACGGATCACCAGTCGGCCTTAAGCGGTCCAGCGGCATTTACATTGTGAATCGTAAAGGTTGGACTACTAGAAGCATTTCCTATTAACTACCGACACTACACCTGTTGCAAGAATGTTATCAGAAGCAGAACAACTTCTTTTCAGCAAGCCGTTTCTCGCCAGAGAGCGGAACTACAAGGAGCTTTACTATCAACGAAAAATGCAGCGAAGCAGGTATGTTTCCAGAACAGAATGCGGCGCACAACTAGTTCCAACAACCGAAATACTGGCAACCATTGTTTACACTGAGCTATGTGGGAGTTTGAAACAATGTTTGTGCTTGTAATTGGTTACTTTAAGGAACGGAACCAAGGTCGGCACAGAAATGCATATCAACTGTTACCCGCGTATTCCGGCTGAATTACGTGGGTTAGATGGAAAACGCTGAATCAGTGGTCTTGGATGAATAAAGTTTGACCTGGCTCCACAGAGGGTAGGTGTGGGTCGGATGAGCACAGGGAACAAGTAGCTCATGCAGATTATTGAACTCAAGGAGCTGGCATCAGGCGTTCAACCAGCGATAGTCATTAAAGTTAGTTAGAGCGGAATAGGATTTCAGGACCTGCATAATATAAGCGACCCTTGTTTTCACAAATGATAATTTTCTTCTTATTGTCCCGATGTCGTTGGATTTCTCGGGGATCTACACGACAATGTTCATCTCCATGGAAGTTGTGTTGTTCACCGTCCATCAGGTATCAACATACTAAGCGATGTCCAGACCGCTGATAGCCGAGAAGTAGAATCCAAATGGATAATGGATGTGAGCAAAAATGATGGACCCTACCACGACGATCGTGCTGCACATGGAAGCTAGTACGTGGAGTCCGGTAGGAGAAATAGCCACCGCCGAGGCGACAAACTAAACAACGTGTGTACTGAGCAGACTGCAGTGACTGCTATCCATACTTTGAGTTTTGATAGAACAAGTTATGATTACTCGTCATCTGCATATTCTCGTGCTGCGAGTGAGATAGGTGGCTTCGTCCATCCTGTCGTCGATTGTCTCGTATCCTATTCACGGGTGTTCCACAATTTGGGTAACGGGCCTGGAAGATCGTGTACTTGTGAGCTATGTTTAATAGCGCAGGGGGTAGCATAGGGGGTGGGGGCGGTCCGCCCCGGGCGGGATGTGACAGGGGGCGGCATTTTTAGTGCCGTCGATTTGTCGATACCAAATATAAAGGGCAAAATATCCAGATAAACTGTAAGTTGCGTATTTTAATGTGATTTTTTATGACCACCAACACATTTGCGTCATATATCATACATTTGCGAACGTTTTTCCCAGCGAGCCCCTTACTTGTCACATACTTACCTCAGTGTCTCAAACGATCACCCGTCTCACCGAAAAGTAATATGCACTTCACCCGGCGATGATGGTGTGGTATTCACGCGGCTATACTGCCCTCACTCAGGGCGAAACGCTTGCCACCGCCCTGAGGCGGCAGAACTAATTGCCACGCCACTGTAATAAGGCCGAGTGCTGGTAACACTATTGTGCATTACTATTTCTTAAAGCCTACTACCCACTAAGATCCACATCATCCAGTTCGGATTTGTGCACCTGATCTAGCACTTTCTGTCTACGTTCAGTATGCTGGGTCTCTTCCAACTTCCAGCATTGAAATGCCTGTCCAATTTTTTACTGAAAATTCTAATAGAGGATGTAGCCGGAATGGCGGTTAACCAAGATTGACCGGTTGAAAAATGTATTTTTATCTCTGTTCTCAGTAACCTGTCTGTTAGGCTGGTCAACTGTTCCGTGCCCAGGTTGTTTTCACTTACAGTATGAACAAGACTTCGTGAAGCTGTCGTTCTCCTGCAATTAGTGATAGCCTAACGATTGATCGTTTCATAACACATTCACAGAAAGACGCTGGGGCTCAAGATTTGCCAACATAATGGGTGGGAAACATCGACGTTTGTGTCGCCTGTGTGACCTGTTCTATGTTTGTTGTAAATTGGTATAGTAGGCTAGATGCCTCTGCCAATCTGCTAAATGTCACCAGATGCAATCGTTCCACTTAACTCCATCGCGTCTACACAAGGGGTCCGATGGTAGGAAGTCGGTCTCTCCTCTGCATACGTGACAACATGACGGGGGGGGGGTGAATAGTAGCCAATTGTATCGGCCTCCAGTGCTCATCTCCCAAACGGAGTGGAATTATATTCTGTCTACGACAAACTGTGTTCCAGTGTGCGTGTGCGTGTGTGCATGCAATAGTCTTCCATCCCAGCTTCGTGGCATCATGTACGCATGCGCCACAAATATGCAGTTGCTATCGTAATCACACTTATTTATTGATCCGTCACTCTAAAAATGCCTTTTCCGCTTCGTCTCCTTCCCTTCGTGACACCTAGCTCTACCCGAGTAGTTTGCTCCCCGTGGGTGTGATGAACAGTGACTCATCAGTCGTCGTCATACTGTGCCTGCTGGGTGCTACTCATCAGCGTAATTCACTTAACTCACAGGTAAACGTTCGAATGGGACGAATGACAAGCCACACTGTGAGAAACTCAGAAGTAAACGAGAGCAGTTGCGTTTGTGCAGTATTGTTATAGTCCTCCTAATGAGGATGCTTGTTTCATCCTGGTCGAGGGATTACCTACGATGGAGCGTAGGTGTCATGAATTCGTATGGATGTTCACTGCGTCAACAGTATACAACTTACATCGTACACCATAAATCCTATGGTTTCGAAATCAGAACCCTTCTGCTTACGCACGTCCCGTTGCATCAACCCCACGGTGACCGTCGCTAACTGCTCTTCGTCATTGGGATCAGGGTCCTCGATTTTGATCCGGAACTGAGGATTTGTATGGAACGAACCTGTGGGACATGAGGCAAAATATGACAGTATACTAAAGAGTCATTCATAATTTGCATGAATGAAGTGGGTCAAAAACTGCAACTTATTTCTGAGGACTCTCATCTTATTTAGCAACGCACAAATTGCGGTGGTTGAACTATCGAGTGATGTTTCTGACTCCACGGAATTCGGGTTGTACTTCGGCCTATCCTTGCACACAATCACGAACCCAGTTTTGGCACAGGCAACAGTGAATTACTTGTTTGTTTCCGATACAGTCCCATTGACCGAAATGTACGACAGCAAAGCTAATCTAGGTCCAATTTGAGATTGCATGTTACAAACTAATCACACCGCAGGAGCTTCAGACAAACCCACTTTGAGTTATGCATAACGAGCGAGGTGCAACACACTGGAAAGGTTAAACATTTGACCCTAAGACGGTAAGTAAGAAAGATGCACTAATGGCCGATGTTAGATGGTTGACAAAGGAGAAGTGCCATAAGACTCACGTGGCTCTAGAGAGAGTGGTAGCTATGTGGGCAAACCTGTTAAATGAATGGTTGCTATTCGAGAAAAAGCTCGGTTGTGTAGTGCTATCTAATATTGTGGATGATCTCGAAAATTTTCCGAAACATATGTTGTAACCTAGTCGAGCAACCAAGATTTTAGATGAAATTTTGCGAGTGCCGTTCGACTTTTATCCACCAACTATTCGATGAGAACGCTATGGACATTAACCTGGTTGATTAACAGGCAAGGACACGATACCTATGTGCTTATCGGTTGGCTTGGTCAAGCATATTAAACATGCAGTACGCGTGGCGTGTGCGGCCCTTGGCAAGCGCGTCAGCGGCCCACACATACATGTAGATGAAACTCCGTAGCACGCAATCAATCCACTAATGCATAGTTCATTTCTTGTCTCGGATACTGACACTCAGGTGATCTAGGCAACTCGAATCAACTGGGTCGATTGTAATTGTTTAGTCCCAATGTAGAATTGCTGTAAATTAGCTAGATGCCTCTGGCAAACTGCCAAATATCACTGTATGCATTCGTTTCACTTAACTCCATCACTTTTGCACTAGGCATCCGATGCTACAAAGTCGATCTCGCGTATGCATAAGTAAGAGGAGGAAAGCATTTTACAAAGCCAGAACAAAATGAGCTAAGTATCTTATAGAATATAAAGGGCAACAACGAAACCTACCCTCAAAATTATCACACCAGATGTTAGGGTTGTCTACGCTCCCACTGCTATAGCAGACACCCTTAATGCACACTTCGCGATTCTTGTACCACCGGTGTCATCGATCAACTCTGAAACTGTTTCTGCTGTCGACTTAAGCATCGGACTCATTAAACGTAGGATTAACTTGCTGCGGCTACCCTGCAATTCTGTGCCCAATGGCATCTCTTCAGCTCTAATCAAGTATGGTGGTGATAAGATCCTAGTAAGACTACTGAATACGTTTCCCTTTCCTTGCCTTCAGGCCAGTAATCTGAGAAATTGACTTAAACTGACATGCCGCGGCGTAAACCCGAGCCTAAAACATATATTCGTAACTATCGCCCTATTAGCCACACATCCATTCCAGCAGGAATGATGCAGAGAATCGTAAAAGAAAGATTACCTTCCTTATTCTACAGTCTTCTTTCAGCTTCATAGCATGGCTTCTTAAAGTCCAATTCATGCATAACTTGTCAAATTGATTTCGTACGAAATCTCACGGGAACAATTGCTCCTGGACTTCATGTCTTGTCATCGATCTTGACAGGCAAAAAGGGTTCGATAAGCTCCGCACAAAAGGCTATAGTTAAAACTGAGCGGTTTTTCTATATCAGATCCGCTTCTTATCTGTTTCGAATATTAGCTGACAGAAGGCTTGCATATAGTCAACCTAAATGCATTCATGTATACGCCCTAAGAACTTACTAGTTGTGTAGTTCAATGCAGCCTCCTATTTGATGGTAAATACATGATCCTATCCATCACTTAAGCTTCCGTAACTCATATTTTATTTGAAAATGGTTTGCAACTAATGCACGCCTTTGATTTATCTCAATATTTAACCAAGTATCAAATAGTAACTGCGATCTACAAGCCACAGAGGGCTGAGCTGCAAAGTACCAGATGCAATTTCCTACATCGAAATGCAACACATGAAGTAATGCATGTCGTAATGCATGTATATATATATATATATATATATATATATATATATAGGGATCATTTTTGTTTCATGGTGATACAATTCCAGTTTGCTCTTCTGTCAACGATTCAGCACTGTGGTATTCCAGCTCTCTAAACTTCAGCGAACCTGCGAACGATATTGTGACTAAAACATCGTAAGTACTGGGACATAGTAGGCAGCCACTAACATTGCAAGAGACAAAACTCATGGCATACAAAATCACAAGGCCCTGTTAGCATACTGCTGCGTAACTTTCAGTAGTCTACATAACTGTGACTTGAAGGTCATAGAAAATGCTCAAGTTGCCTTCACCAAACGCAACGATGGTCACTCCACACTTGTTTCTTATACAGTTGTAGTGAGCTAAACCTCGAGGTTTTATGGTCGGGTGGATTACATGCAAATTTGTGTGGCAAAAGGTGTGTAGTGAACATCACACTGCAATTTCGGTCAGAAACCAGACATGAAATTTACGACGCGGGATGTGATTGTAGCGCCTTCATACAGCATCACAGTCAGACAGAACTTTTGTCTTCCAAGATTCTGTCTGATTTGGAACACATTGTCTAGTTCCACACTGTTGTGTCGGAGCCCCGCGAATGCTTCCACCCACTAACGGTAGTGAGAACACGAGCGACCAGGGACAGAGATTCAAGAGTTCTTTACATATGTAAACCAGTTACTTATATAGCATAACGCACAAACATGAAAGCCAACCAGGGTGCGGAAAGCAACCGGACAATTAAAGCCAATAAAAACGGAACAAATGAGGAACCAATCAAGTGCACACAAAGGATGTAAGGTGAGAGTGATAGCGTCAAGGTATGCCTGCGATCTGAAGGCAAAAACAACGACTACACATAGCCAATAGGGATGGCGAAATGATGCGTTAAAACAAACATCAGTGAACCTCCATGGTAGAAAGAAACTCTGCAGTCCTGAACGGTTACAGATGCATACCTGTACTTTACTTGCACCTCCAACACACACGATGTACAAAACATCAGCGGATTCAACAAAATGACTAAGCTTCTCCTAATACTAGCAAAAATTAAAGAGATCCTAACTTTTCAAATAAACGAGGACAATTTGTTTTCGGAAGAACCGTATCAGTTGGGAGAGACAAAGAGCACGGGAGTTATGTGTTGAAGGGTTAAAAAATTTCAATACAAAACAGAACAATGATATGATGATAAACTGGAAAGCAAATAGAGAGGGTGATAAATTGCGATGCTCTTTCCTAATGTCGCCAGACTGAAACTGCATAAAAGCTCGACAAATATCACGACTGATTCCGTAAAACCAGTCCCATATATGTAAGTAGTAGGCTCATCTTGCAACGTTTTAACGTAATATTGGTGTACCTCTGCCATCAATTCATAATGTGCCCAAACTTAGTGTTCAATCATTGCGTTTTAATTCCATCACCAGCCATAATCTACTATCCGTTAGGATTTTGCACTCATCTGCCGATTCCTTATTTGTTTTTCACATCGCAACTGAGCGATCGATAATATTTCTTTTCTTTCCGATCAACTGTCGGAGTAACAGTTTTTTCATTGTGAATGCTTCAACTGGTCGCAATTAGCGATAAAGAGCCCATAACTGCAAATATGTTATAACCTGCATTTAGATGATTTTTGCTATCTTTTTTTCCTTAAAAATCCCTGACCGGAGTGCAAACTTCTTTACTCTAGGAATTCCGTTATTCGTCAAAATTTCAATCAAATTGTTGTTGGCTTGTCTGCAAATGACTGTACGTATTATTTTTGTTGTTTTTAATTCCTCATACTTTATAGCCTTTCTTATTTCTTTGTTAGCCATGACTAGGCTGGTCTCTTGAGGTGAATGATGGAAGCTTCTAAGCTACAATTGTACCCATGCAAGGTGTATTGCCACTGACCCACGGGCTCAATGGATGCTGAATTACAGCGCACTGGCCTCCTCTGACGCAAAAATCTAGTGACGTGCAGCAACCAGAGGAAGGTTGGAGCGGATTGTGTAGTCTGATCGCCAATAATATATGCATAAAAGGAACAGCCCTAAAAGAATGTCAAACAGGTGATGGTCTATTTGCTGTTTTGGCACACCGGCATAGCCAGATGGCCATTGCACCGCCGGTAAAACATTTCGCGGGAGTACTCTGCATGGAAGCAGGTCTCCTGGGGACAGTTTCATGGATGACCGTATTACTTTACTTAAATATTTGGTTAAATTTGCATTACTTATAGTTCCCAATTCTTTAATCTCTCGAATAACTACAACCAGCCAATTATTAAAAGAATTCTTTTTCGACCCATTGTGTAATGAGTGAACAATCGAGAAGGATGAACCGTACTCCGAGCTGGACATTACTATTACTGATGTTTCGTTGCCAAGCTAGGTAAAATCCTCAATGCGGCTATTAAGTCCTGATTCGTGCAGTTTCGCGAGCCACTACCAGATCTGAAAATTACCCGTTTTTAACGGGCTGATTGTACAAATTTATCTGGTCACTCAGTTGGACTGTGCATCGCACCGTCGATGGGTATACAGTTCATTTCCTTGTGTATTTAATGGTCTGAGGATGTTACACTGAATGCAATTAGTCAAAATTAGTATTTTGCTTTTTAGATTTAAATAGGAGTTGTTATTTTACGTAAGCAAATGTAAGCATATATATATATATATACATATTTCATATGCATATATATGACGAGCGCCGTTAGATTGCTGGGGGAATGGTGGCAGAATATTTACCGATTAATTACCCGCTCCTCCTCTAGCTCTGCCGCCGACATATGTCCTAGACGCCCGTTTGTGGAGATCATTGGGTGCCAGTC